AACCTTTTGGATATCGTTAACCCCAATATACTTCAAACGACAAGCAGAATCACTAGTCCGAAATCTGTGTCGTACCGAATCAAACATTTAATGATAAGTACAAAGTGAGGGAGCTAAGGCTTTGAGAATACCATTACAGAACGCCTAGATTTACACCTACATTAACCGTTATGAACAAGCATATTGTAACTTACTGTATCTCTTAACGTGTGATATACGGTTAGTTATGTTAGGGGAAATAAGCCTGAACAAAATGAGACGACTACACAGACTTTCTGACACCTGCTTTGAGTTAGAAACTGTGGTAGTGTTTCACTCGGTATATTGGCTCGAGATATGGAAAAACAAGAAGGCTTCAAAGTAATTATAACTCACACATGTCGCTATGTATTAGTACAAACTGGTTATCATGGTGTTTTTATGTCTTTGCCGTTAGAAATCAGCACATTTTACACAGTTTGAGTGATGTGTTTTATAATTGGTTTATCGTTGTTTTTGTTGGTGCTTGGTAATGGCCGTTTCAAAGGCCTTAGAGTGAATTGGAAAGTTGCGGAATGGGGGGAGGGTAAAATATTGGTGTGTGTTCCTGAGTCACTCGCTCTCTCGCTCGCTCGCTCACTCACTCACTCACTCACTCACTCACTCACTCACTCACTCACTCACTCACTCACTCACTCACTCACTCACTCTCACTCACTCACTCGATCACTCACTCACTCACTCACTCACTCACTCGATCACTCACTCACTCATTCACTCACTTATTCACTCACTCACTCATTCACTCACTCACTCGATCATTCACTCACTCACTCACTCACTCACTCATTCACTCACTCACTCACTCACTCACTCACTCACTCGATCATTCACTCACGCCCCTTCACTCGCTTGACGTTGACTATGCTAGCATCTACAATTTAGCTTGACATCTATTCTTCCTGTGGTAGCTTACTTTCCCACTCGAAACTTTACAAAAATTGCTGTCTTTCAAAGTTCTGCAAAGTTTACAGTTCTGAATAATATGTTTCTGGACGTACGAGTTTTTTCCCTCCCAAAACCTAAACACCTCATCTCTTCAGTGGCTTAATCTTTCCCATAACCTTTTTCCGTGTGGTTGTAAGATTTATAGATCCAGGAATACAGTGACATTTCCACTTTAATTCAAACCGGCTCTTAGTTCACCCAAACCTTCCAACCCTCCAAGAGAACACGCCGTATTTTACCTCAGTGTTCTCCGACAAACGCCAGGTATATCAAAATCTAATTTGCAAAACTGCGGGAACAGATTACGATGTTAACATTGGCAGACGTTCGCTCTTGGCAAGAGAAGAGAAGAAAATTTAAAGAGTGTCCCTTGTGGCTCATCGCGGTCTCGCTCATCGGTGCAATTTCTTTACTTATCTATCAGAACCAACTGGGCATTGCGAAGACAACTGATAGCGTGCCAGCAACTTAGTACAGATCCATAGGCCAGGGTTGACTCAGAATCCGAAGGTTCTGGGTTCGAATCCATGCATGGCAGGCCCCATTGCTGTGTCCTTGGGAAAAGCTACACCTATTTCCTCACCTCACTCAGGCGGAAATGAGTACCTAGCTTCGGTTAGGGACGTCCTCTAGGATAGGACTTAAGTTGTGACACAGTATAATACTATTCAAGGCTAAAACTTGAATATACTGAACGCAAAATTTTCGGCCAGGAAAACGTACAATATATTTCTATCCAAAGTGAAACCTGACAAGAATAAAGCTTTAGGATAGGAAGATTACAGAGCCAGTAAGATCGAATTAAGTGCCAAAGCAAGGCAAGGCAGTGCGAGATTTATGACCATGAATCCTTGCGATAACCTCCCGACATGCTTTGTCGCGAAGAACCCGGATGACCCCTGCTGATCATGAGTGGAGTCACAGTGCCAATGGCTCTATCACATGCCACGGCCTTTTATATCACCATTTAGGCGACCTGTAGTACCTTTGGATTGCCCTAACCTTGCCATTTTCTTGCACAGCAAACCAACTCAGCAGTTTAAAAGTAGCCTGGGTGCCAGACTGTTGCCAGGGGCAGTATACAGGCTAGCTCTTCGGCTCCAGGGCTAGCCTGGGTGCCAGACTGTTGCCAGGGGCAGTATACAGGCTAGCTCCTTTGCTCCTAAAACTTTACCAAAGACACCCCCTCAGATAGTAGCCTCTACCAGGCTTTGGGAGGCGGCTGGAAAGAGTAGAAATCGGTCAAATAGAGAGAAAACATGCCAGGGGAGTCGGTCTGCTGGAGAGAACAGTTTGCCGCACTCCCCTGGCATGCTATCTCTCTATTTGGCCGATTTTACTATTTCCAGCCACCTCCCGAAGCCTTGTAGAGGCTAATCAGATATATAAGTTAGACCCCCAGGTGCTAACTGTGGGATCGGGGCTTGTGGCTTCCCCCAGCCCAAGGGAGTATTGTGTTGAACCGGGGTCTGGCATCCAGGCAATTTTAAAAGCCATAGACAGCTATCAGCTTTCTACAAGTGAATACTGGATATGCCCCTTGTGTTGCCGTGTCTATGTTGTAAACGCAGGTGGTCTGAGAAAAAGCTTTTAAGCTTATATTTGATCGCGACAATTAAAGGAACGGTGGGTAAAAATGGCACTCAGCCACCATTTATGTTAGTGTCTGGCTCGTATTAGCTTTGACAGACTGAAAGGATGTGATCATGATATGCCCATTTCTTTCCACTACTGATGTCAAATTGATATTACACAGCAGCCCAGTGTTGGTGCTCTTTTTTCAGACATAGTTTTAGACATACTTGTAATTCTAGACAGCTACCTTTCATCATGTAGACTTTAGTCATTTTATACTCTGTTTCAATGTTCTTTTATGTTTTGTGATTTGCAATTAGCCTCTGGACACAAATTTGCAATAAACTTTTCATTTAAAAGATGCCACAGGCACGTCTTGAGTTACTCTCCAAGTAGAGGTTTAGGCTTATTTTTTAACGTGTTTTAGGCATTTTTATTGGGCTCTCTTTTTTGTAATGGTGCCTGTAGGAAAGATACCAGCACGTATAGGGTCCGTTTTGCTTAGGATCAGAAACTCAGCGGTCAGTGCTCTATTCAAACAAATATAACTGCTACAGGTTAAAACTGGTCGACTTCGATTTATTTGTTGCCAACCCCTGGCAATATATTTGTAATTGCGAGGTAGAGTAGGACTTTAGAAATAAAAGAGTGTCGAAGAGAGTGCCTTGTGTTGGCCAAAAAGAAACGTTTGTGGTAATGTTTTCGTCCCAAGACCGTGACCTCTATTTCAAGGTCACATCAGACGATAAATCACATCCTGTCATGTCGTCTGACCTGCTGACCTCACACCCCCGCCATTTTGTTTGAACTTGAAAAATCGTCATGGAGCAAGGTCATAGAGTGGAAATGAGGTCATATAGCACATGGAAAGTGCTGTATGAGGTTGCGAATTTTTCATATTTGAAGCTACTTAGTAAAGCATATTTACAGATGTTTCAACTGTAGACTTCAAGGAGACTATGGCTTCTTGAATTGGCAAAATGTCCAAAATAAGGACATGTCCTTCTTTCAAGGTCAAAATGGAAGAAAACGGGGTCAAGGGGTTAGGAATAGGCTGCTGGTAACAATTTTGTTTCTTGTAAAATACCGCTGGGCCGAGTGGTAAAACGCATGGTTACCCATTGGGTGCTGACCCTGGCCTCTTTCTGTTTGACATAAAACGGCCATGACGATTTGATAGTTCTGAATTAGTCAAAGCTGTGTCCAGCAAGGAACAGTATAAGATCATTGGTTTAGTCATATTGCCCAATCATCCATGAACAGCGCCATTTTTAGAAGAAATAAAGGAATGAATGAATGAATGAATGAAGCTAGGGAGGAAGGAAGGAAGGAAGAAAGGAAGCAAGGAAAGAAGGAAGGATGGAGGGAAGGAAGGAAAGAAGGAAGAAAGGAGGGAAGAAAGGAGGGAAGGAAAAGGAAGGAAGGAAGGCAGAAAGGAAGGAAGGAAGGAAGGAAGGAGTTTTGAAGGATTGACTTGAAATGACAACAGCAAAATTCTTATCTTGAAAGTTCATCTGTGTTGGTAGAAGTCATTCCTTGACAAAGACTGGAGTTGTACAGTCGAAAATTTGGGTGAGTCCAATTTCTTGTGTTGGAAATTACAGTCTAATCTTGCTGCATAACAGCAAAATTCGCCTGTTCTGGAATACTTTCCAGAACGTCATGCAAATACCGATCTTTACAAGTCAAGAGACCCACCCAGTGGGTTGACTAGCGAGAAATTTGAAATGACTCCCTATAAAACTACAAAAAAACGATGTGAACGCCGTGAAACGAAGCACGGGTCTCTGACTTTGACCCAAACTTGACCCTTTGACACGTGCACTCGCCCTCACGTTGACCTGAACCTGACCTGTCGTGACCTTTCACAGTCCGCCATCTTATTTGTGCTCACGGCATGTCGTTCCGGATTATACAAGTTCAATGCACCACTTGTCACGTATGCACCACTTGTTACGTACGGTCTAATAGACACATGTGCTAAACGGTGGGTACAAATGAAATAACATGCGTGTAGTAGACATTGGACATTGGACACAGGGTAATAATCTTAACCGAAGGAAAACATATTGTTTTTGCTCAGTTTCTTCTTCTTCCTCTTCTTCTTCTTCTCCTCCTCCAAGCAGGGACCTCTGACCTGGCCCATGGCCTCATTTGTTGACGTCTGTCACCATGGTAACTGGTGTTGGGGGACATGTTGCAATTTCATAGTAGGAGGGATTTAGACTCCTGTCACCATATATGTGAATGTGTTTGAGTAAGAATTAACAGTACAGAGCAGACCATATCAGAAGGTAAACATTATGCATTTGCCTTGCAAAATTTATGCTCCTTTTGTAATTTCTATTACCTTCGGCCAGGCAGCTAAATATGGGTGGGTACCAGGTTACTTTTGGCATCTCAATCACGACCCCTGGCGGTGGTTTTGTTTCCTGCAGATTGCGTGGATGAGAGCAGGTTCTGCCCGTCCTGGGCGGAGAGAGGGCACTGCAACATCAACCCCGGGTACATGCTGAAGAAGTGCCGCGTCAGCTGCAGGCAGTGCAGCAGTCCTCAACAACAACAACAACAACAGAGACAACATCAACAACAACAGGTTAGACATCGTTCCTTTTTAATGTTTACCTTCGGAGAACGAAAACATAACGTTTTTTCTCTCTTTCCTCTTCCTCATATTGTTCTACAAACAAGTAAAGTCAATGACCTGGACCAGACGTCATTCGACTTTTCTAAAAGTTAGAAGATCAGCTACAAAATGTTTATGTTTTACTCTCTTCTTCTCCAAACAAATCGGGCCAATGTCAATGACCTCTACCAGACGTCTGTCACCATGGTAACTGATGCTGTAGCAGACACCCTGTGGTGTTGGGTGTAATATGTAGTAGGGCAGAGTTGGAGGGGCCGGTCTCCATATATTGTATATGAATATGTTTGAGTTAAAACTATCAATTTCAAATGTTTTTCATAATTAGCTAAATTGTGTACAATGTACCCGTTGTATAACGTTACTACAGTGAAATCATTATTCATCGTTTTTCTTTTTTTTTTCAGCAAACGAAAGGGCCTTCCTACCCTTACCGACGGTACACGTCATACTCACAAGACAACCGCCTGCCCCCGCTTTCCAACCCGATGCCAAGTTATGCAAATCAGGCCGTGTCATACACCTCCTACCCCAGTCAGCACAACCAACCAGGCTACCCGTACCCGGTGCCTAGCTACAGCCAATCAGGACCCGGGTATCCCAGCCAATCAGGTTCGAGCTATCCCAGCCAATCAAGTTCGAGCTATCCCAGCCAATCAGGACAGGGCTCGCCGCCCTCGCATAGAGGGCCAGACTATGAGACCAATCGAGTGTCTAGTTTGATAGGGAGGACAGGGGTGACCAAGTTGCCGGTTGTGAGTTCAGGCAGCCGCCGCCCGAGTGTGGAAGGATCGGAAAGTCGGGACAGGCTGGCGCGGTTGAGACATCCCCGTCCTCTGTCGCTGACGGCGTCACAGAAGAGTCGAGGTCAGGGTTCAAGGGTGAACACATACAACAGGACATGGGTTGAGCGTAAGTGAATTAATTTTCATGAATTATATAAAATCAGAAATTTTCTTTCTGTTCTAAAATAAAGACAGTGTGATTATATTTTTGCTACACGACTTTTAAGACTAAATTAAGTATGTTTTCCCTTTATACTATTTTGTCATTGTTTAGTGTTTTTTGTTGTTGTTGAAAGAAGATGTTCACTCATGTTACGGAAAACTCCCAGAAACTATTTTGTCCCTCAGAGGTCATAGGTCACCAATTCGACAGCGAGGAGGCTTTCGTAGAGATGACCAAGTTTCTGCGCCTGCGCGAGAACGTCACCATGCTGTGGAAGTTCTTGGATAGAATGTCTAGCGAGGAGGCGAGACGGGAATATATACAGGTACGTGGGAAACAGCAGGAAGAAGGAAAACATATCGGTCTGCTCTGTTCTCCTTCCTCTTCTCCAAACAAATAAGGTCAATGACCTGAACCAGACGTCTGTCACCATGGTAACTGGTGCTGTTGTACTCTTGCCATGTGGTCTTGGGTTACATTTGTAGCAGGATAGAGCTGGAGTGGCTGGTCCCTTTCTTTTTTCATGAATGTGTTTGAGTAAGAAAAATCAGAGCAGTACTTTTTTTAGGCTAGACCATGTGAAGGTAAACATTATGCAGTTGCTTTGAAAATGTTACGTTTCTAGTTACTGACCTGCTTTTATGTAATCTCTCCCTCATTCCCAAAGACCCGTGAATGTAACTGTGTGGATCCTGATGACCTGTCGTGTCCTGAAGAAGACCAGGTCATTCCAAAGGGCGAGTGTTGTCCGATATGTGCAGGTTTGTCCGGAGATCTATTTGTCTAGCATCCAGTCTATATCATTACCATGCGTCCTACTTGCTACGGCTAACAGTATGGTCACATTTTTAGTAACTATCAGTTTGCTATCAGATCGTATTTTACTATCATGAAAGCTCCTCTGTGTTGGTAGATACATGTTTAAGGTTAAAACTTTTGTTCAAACAGAAGAGATTGTCCTCACCTAGAGCTTTCGACTAGTCACTCTGGCCTTCTTCAGTAGACTGACCCAGTGAGACTAGTCACGTTGCTTCGTGTGTTGCCTTTCCGTAGCGATTTTCGTTTGCGTTCCTTCCAAACCAAAATTTTATTTTTCCCTCAGAAAGCGGCTACGCGTACGCACACTGCCACATGCGGCCCAATTTTTTGGAGGATCAAGTCGGCATCAACGGACACATAGACATCAGACAAAAGGTAAATCCAAGGGCGACCTCTAGCGATAGCAATTAGCGTTACACCATCATTGGGCCCTCATTGAAGAAGCATTGTACATGTAAAAACTAATGTCTGAGGCGTCTAATATACATACTCGTACAGAAAAGAAAAGATAAGACACATATTTTGTTTGAAAAAAATCCATTTTTATTTTTTCAAATATGGCGTCAGTTGACGGGTGGCAACATCGAGGTGCTGGTTGACCTTGTTGGGTTCGACGCGCGTGACCCCGTGCACGGGTTCCACATCCATACGGACGGTGACCTCAGCATGGGCTGTGACACCGCCGGGCCGATCTATAACCCCTTTAACAACTCACATGGCGGACTGAACTCCACGGAAAGGTCAGGGCATGACTTTTGATCTTTGAACTTTTGATCTATTAGCATTTTGGTAAAAGTTGTTGATCCTTGTTGTTGATCCTTTTGCACATGATACTATATTCAAATCACTACCGTGAAAGTTCATCTGTTTTTGCATGTTTAAAAAGCTTTGTTCCAATACAAAGAATTGTTCTCACCTAGAGTTTTCGACCAGTCACTCTGGTCTTCCTCAGTAGACTGACTCAGCGAGACTTGTCACGTGGCTTCTCTGAACATATTCAATAGGCTACACATTATGTTCGAATAAGATGTTTTTTTAAGTCCTCAGCGTTTTTTAGACATCAAATTATTAATTTATCAAACTCAATTCCTCATTTATTTATTTATTGATTGATTGATTGGCACGTGTTCTCACCATGCAGGAAAGTGGGTGACCTAGGGAACCTTGACTGTGACGAGCTGGGCCGTGTGATGATGTTACTTGATGTGGAGAACGCCTCCCTGCTGGGACCCTACTCTATACTGGGCAGATCCATGGTGGTGAGTATCAACATCAGCTTTCCTTCCGACACTGGAATGAATGGTGACTTACCCCAAATTTTCGGCTGACTCGTTCAACCTTGTTCAGGGAATGGACCCGTCTACTCTTGGAACGTGACGTCAGAGACACGTGACCGTAGTAGCGGGTCATACGTGCCAGATAACTTGTGTCGCCCCCCGTCTCTGTTCAGAAAATTTAGGGTAAGTGCCAACTGACTCCAGTGTTGGAAGGAAAGCTTAGTCTTTGTTTCATAAAATAAAGGCTGCCTTTCCCAAAGCAAGGGCACAAGATCGATGACAAGGTAGGATTCGAACCCGGGACCTCTTGGTTCTAAGCCGAACACTCTAACGCTACGACACACGACCCTCTCTCCCCCTTTCATGTTCCTAGATCCATGCGAACGAGGATGACTTCGGCCGTGGCGGGCACGAGATGAGCCCGGTAGACGGTAACTCCGGAGTGCGGCTGGCGTGTTGCGTCATAGGTCGGACCAGTGACGCCGAAATGAGATGGTCCGGCGTGGAGAGGTAGACTCGGTCCACGGTGGCGACGAAATGTACTCTTAGATGCATCCAATGAAATTTCAGGGTGGAAAAGTAACAACAAAAAGATATTTTGGATGAGTATATTATAATATTCTTCGATCAGTGACTGTTTTATAAAGGTAACAACTCGTACCTCCAAATTTTCGATGTCGACTGTATACATCTTGAACACGGAGTGACCTAGTCTCGCGAGAACACGAGGCTTGGTCGAGATGAGGACATCGGTCTGATATTGATGCTCACATCGCATTTTCGTCATCATTTCATGAAGCATTTGAAATAGCCTTTACATATGGGGTACCATTGATAAATATCTAGAAATTGCATAGTTTCAGGTGGGTCAAATGAAGGAACTGTACTTTTTTTATGTTGACGACTTGGTCATGATTTGCGTGCACATGTATAATTTATATCACTTTAGACGTAGGTTTTGAGATGGAAAACAGTTAAGATGTTAAAATGAATGAAAAGGGGATATGGAATTAGTTTAAGTTGACTTTTTGTCATCTAGAAAATAAAGAGATGATAAAACAGAAGCGAAACGCTCTATTGTTCTGTTGCAGATGAATTTTGAGTGACCAGCTTTACCAAACGATATTTCTGCGTTCTGCGTTCTGCATTCTAGTTCTAACTTCTCTCGCAGTGCGGCGCTATTGTTACCCTGAACTCTACTTGCCTATATCAGCTCAAATCTGTCCGGCATCGCCAGCTGCTCTATAGCGTTGGTATCACGACAACTCCCCTGGTTCAAATCAGTGATGCCATATCTCTTCGCCAAATGTCAGTGTTCCTAAGGGCTGTCCCAACTGGCATCGGTTCAGAGGCTATGGCATGTACCTCCATGACCCTTGTAGGTGTTGCTCCATCCAAAACTTGGATGCCAAGTCCCCCACTGGGCAGGCCGTATGTTATCGGCACACATGGAAACAATCTTTCAGCATCAGGAGTTGAACAAGCTTAAGGGTTTTCTAACTACAAGAACGTGTATCATCGCAAACTGTATTTTTTATCGCCAAAAAAACAATCAAGCAACTGGATATGATTTTGGAAACAGTCAGACGTTTCAGGTAGCATCCACTACCTTTCGTCAGTGCCTTATTACCTGGATGTCTAACCTTCATTGATGTATTTTCTATCCTTAATTTCCGTCGCTTTAGATGAAATCTGTATCATTCGTACAACGTGTAGTGACTAGATAATGCCATACAGCAAAACATAGATAGCAAAGCAGATACAAATGTAATGATATTGCATAATTTGTTTAATTGTATGTTCTGTTTAAGTTAAGGGTACATTGTCACACTGTTTACATCAGAAGCAATCTATGAATTAATTTTAAAACTGATTACAGGTGTCGTTGCAATTTTCTGTGATGCAGAAATTTGATTCTTAAGTTATCGATACAGCATGTTACAGTTGCGACAAGCCGGATGAATATATGGCAACTCCTGGCCAGTTACTCCGAGGGGCAGCCCCACATAGCTTCGGGTGGGTCATACTCATCCACATCCCTGAAGAAGACCAGAGGGTTACTATTGGGTGAAGGAGGAAAAGCCACATAGCGAACTGGCCCGGTTGCATTGTCGATTGCCAGAGGCATATCTCCCAGTCCCTCCACCGGGTCGGTATGGCGGAGGTATACAATGTGACTTTTGGTGGTGGGGATAAGAACGCCTCGACCAATCAGGCCGTACTTCACGCGCAGCTTCTCTTCTGATTGGTCGAAAGTTACGGTGAAGTTTCCCACCGCGCGGGAGAAGTAGTTCCCTTCGAATTCTCGCATGTCCCGGATGAAGGTATGGGAAAGAGGGGCGCCCATCGAGGCGTCTGCTATGTCGAGGGGCGTGCTGGCGTCACGGTCACGGCCACGGTCATGGTCAACAGAGCTGGCGTTCCTACTGCGAGGGAGAATCCACGGCGCTGGGTACGTGCAGACGTTCTCCATTTGCAACCAGTGCTCCTCACCTGAAAACAAACGCTGGCTTTAGCGATCTTCACATTAAGCTTGCCGAAACGCATACTAGATAAGTCGTAAACCTCTAAATCGTGCCCAAGTACAAGTCGGCCAAGCTACAGTCCTTGGCAGTTTGATAAAAAAGACGCAAGATGGCGTCGTCCCAATGTGAGAGATCAACGACCTGCTTATTAATTGCAGCTAGAAAAAACTGGCCAAATAGAACATATTTATTGTCATAGGAGACCCTTGGAGACGGGGGACGCCATAAACTTCCTGCAATGTTCGATCAAATACTTACTACCAAGTCACATTTGTGAGTAGATGGTTGCTTACCTAGAAGAATATCGGCAGCCAAATAATGGACGATTTCATTAATGAGCCCTGGGGTTGCCCCTCCAGCTGATGGCCCGTTGATTGAGGTAAATATGCCCACCTGGACATCGGGGAACAGGGTAATCTGGCTGCTGAACCCCTTGGCGAGACCCTTGTGGTCTAACCTTCTGTAACCTAGAAAGAAACACCAAATAGATCATTTAATTTCTTCTAGTAAGAACAATTCCATTGGAAGAAGGAGGCAGTGAGCTTCAACTGGGTCAAAAGGTATGTACTTTGAGAATATGTGTGCGAAAATGTAGAATTATAGCGTTTATACTCTTCGAATGTTTTTGACTGATAGTTATGTTTACCTTCGCCGAAGAAAAACATATTGTTTTTGTTATGTTTCTTCTTCCTCCTCTTCTTCTCCAAACAAGTAAGGTCAATGACCTGAACCAGACGTCTGTCACCATGGTAACTAGTGCTGGGTTACATCATGTTGCAATTTTATAGCAAGAGGATTTAGGCTCCTGTCACCGTATACATGAATGTGTTTGAGTAAGAATTAACTGAGCTGACCATATGCGAAGGTAAACATTATGCATTTGATTTTCAAATTTTACCTTTCTACTCTTAGATGCTTAATTACTGAGTGTAACTTTACTCTGTACCTTGTGATAAAAATGGATTTCTCTGTGTTGATTTGTTCCTCGGTGTTCGTTTTTATTATAGGCCTCAAAAATACACTGAGAATCAGCCAGAGGCAAACTACAGATTACCATTATAATTGCCTACTCTCCATCCCATGCCATAGGCTGTAGTTGTTGACGAGGTCGGCCATCTTGGTTTCCCCTTGTTGTTTGCACCCCGTTCGCTGATGGGTGTGAGGGGCTTGTGGGTCAGGTGCATCAGCTTCCGTGGTACAAGTTCACTTCCGTTTAAGAGCTTTCCGAGATTGAGTTGGAAGTTCATGTATTTAGCCATGTCCACAGCATTGGAGAGGATTCCAACGGCAGGGAGGTCGAGGTCAAGGGGTCTATCACAAACAAACAAACAAACAAATAAAAACAAAACAAATGCAGCAGAGCAATCACTTCGAAACGCAATCTCGCGAGGGTTACGGTTACAGGCACGTCACATTTGCACGAGACTTCACTGATACGTGACGTAAGCAATTGATCAAAAGTGCCAGGGAGTTTATATCGTCCTCCGTCTCTGTTAAGTGATGGCTGGAGTGCCCTGATATGTATGGCCTCCTTAATGCCTTAATAAGAAGATACTAGTATTGTTTCCCACCCGAATTCCTCCAGCCCGTGCTCCAGTGACCTTGTCCTTGGGATGTCCCTGAGCGGCAAGGGGTGTCCCGACCAGGACCGCAGAGGGCTGCTGGTCCGCAGGAAGGGCGGGACGCGGGGCCTTCTGGGTACAGTCCAGGCAGGTCCTTTGTAAGTCCGGTAGGACATGGCGACCCTCTCCAGACGGACGTCTCCTCTCAATACCTTTATAAGAACTAGGAAAATTAATGTTGTTTCTGGTTTTAGTCATGAAAAAAACTAAATTACTCAAACACATTCATATGTATGGTACCTAGCCCCTCCAACTCTGTCCTAGGCCTGCAACTTGCTACATAATGTAATCCAACACCACAGGATCTCTCCTACATCACCAGTTACCACGATGCCGCGCTAAAATAGCATGGGATTTCTTTAACAGCAGGTTTTGCCCCTTGTATGTGATTGATATATTTGCCCAACATTTGAACTATAGACGTCTGCGTTCTGCCGAAGGGCTATACACAATACAAGTTTCGGGCAGACGCAGTATGTTTTGCCTTTAACGTACCTCGCTCCAGTACGCCGTCCTGTCCATGCCCAGCGGCCCTAGGATCCGGTCTCTCACCAGCTTCTCGTAGCTCTGCCCGCCGATCTTCTCGGCGACGGCCCCGGCCAGCACGTACATCAGGTTGTTGTAGGTGTAGGTGGACCTAAAGGAGCCGGGATACGTCTCCTCAAAATACCGGACGTGTCTGAAAGGGAAAAAGTAACAACTAGAAAGGTAACATTTGCAAAGCACATGTATTATGTTTGCCTTCACATGGTCTAGCCCAATAAACTTCTGCACTGTTTATTCTTTATTCTACTTTTCATCATGTAAATACTATTGAATAATAATATAATCTGTTTCAATACTGTTGTATGTTTATGATTTGCAATTAGCCTCCGGGCACGAATTTGCAATAAACTTCCTATTCTTACTCAAAGTCATATACATTCATATTTATGGAGGCCAGGCTCTCCAACTCTGTTCTGCTAAACAATGCAACCCAACACCACAGGGTGTCTGCTACAGAAACAGTTACCATGGTGACAGACGTCTGGTCCAGGTCAATGACTTTATAATTATTTGGAGAAGAAGAGGAAGAAACTGAGCAAAACAATATATTTTCCTTCTGCGAGGGTTAACACAATAACAAGGGATCTGTCGACCTAGTGTTGACGTCACACTTCAGAGAAGCCACATGACAAGTGTCACTGGGTCAGTCTATTGAAGAAGACTGGTCGAAAGCTTTTAACATAAAGTTTTGCCGTCCTTGAAATTGCATCGATTGCCTCAAAAATGAATGATGGCGTCATGTCGTGACGTACCCTGTTAAAATGAAGGATGACGTAATGACGTGACGTATCGTGTTAAACTGAATGATGACGTCATGTCTCTCTTTCTTT